CTTGATGACGTGGTTTATAGCTGATGATGACCGTCTCAGTCAGGGGTGGGTAGGGGTGCTGTGAGTCTCTCCTGCTTTGTGGTTTTCTGGAACGATCCTCGAGAAAAATCACATGGGGTGTGAGCCATGATCTATGTTAGCAGCCTCCAACATGGCGTTTCCCTTCTCCTACCCATGGCGTGGATGCACAGAGCAAATCCATTCCCTCAGAAAAAGGGAGCGCAGATGATTTATCCACAGTGACACTGCATTCCAGAAGGCCTTTTGTTTTGCTGTGTTCAAGGCGTGTGGACATACAGCGGCCACGGGGTCTGAGCCAGGGTTTGCAAGCGTCTCTTCCTCCCCTTCTCCTTTCCAGGGGCATGTGCGTTTCCTGGAACCCCCTCAAGCTTTTTCACCAGTAGTAGCTGCCATGGCACATTCAGTCCCCAAGCTGCCCAAGCTCAGTGGCAAGGTTCTCACCACCCAGGACGCAAGCTGCTCTGTTATATGAGTCCACTCCTGAGACCGTTGTTGCAGCAAGAACACCTCCGAGAGGCCCCTTGAACAGACGTCAGCACTGAATACACCGCACCTAGTCACCCAGTCCTCCTGTGGCTGAGTGTGTGTGGAAGGAGCGCGTGTGATGGGGAGCCAGGCACCTCATCCCGAGAGAGCTGAGCTTTCATCCCGCCAGCCACAGATGTCACTATGGACGTGCAGGAAATACGCCTGCTCACAAACGGCAGCCCCCATTCAGTAAACCGTAAGAGGCCCCCCGATGTCCACTGGACAGTCACACATCAGCATTACCGAGGACTTTGTTAGGTTAGAATGCCACTCTGTTGCCTAAAGAGGTTCTTTTTTATTTTTGAATCGTTTGGCTCCCCAGAGCCTCAGTTAAGTGTTAGCTGGCCATTTTGGACACAAGGTACTGAACTGTTAGCACATGGATCAGCTGGGGGAAATGTGGAGACCCGAGCCCCTATCACTGTACCCACATGGGTGGGAGAGGGCTGGCCTGGAAACTCAGAAACCCTGCGTTAGTGCAACCCTGTACCTTTTCTGGAACATACTGAGCCCCGCCGGCTTGGGGAAGAAGCCCTCCTCTGGGGCCCCAGACCTGCCTAGATGTGAGCAGTGCTGACCGCATTCTGCTTTGCTGTTCTCTGTCCTTGCTTTCTTTCTCCAGCTGGACTCTGAGCTCCTGGGGGGCAGCCTGTGCTCTTTGTGTGGTATGAACGTAGCATACAGTAGGTCCTCAGTTGGTGTGTGTGTGTGTGTAAAGGATACTAGGGTGAATTTCATTCTACTTGGATCACCAAGCAACATCCGCGGAAGCAGCAGTTAGGAAATCAAATGACGTGTCGCATTGGGCAAATCTGCTGCACAAGATCTCTTTGAAATCTTAGAAAGCAAAGGTGTCACCTTGATGACTAAGGTGCACGTGACCCAAACGGTGGTCTTTTCAATGGCCTCATATGCCTGCAAAAGCTGGGCAATGAAGAAGAAAGGCTAAAGAAGAATCGACACATTTGAACTGTGGTGTTGGCAAAGAATATTGAATATACCGTGGGCTGTCACAAGAAGGAACAAGTCAGTCTTAGAAGAAGTACAACCACAAAACCCCTTAGAAGTGAGGATGGTGAGACTTTGGCTCACTTACTTCTGACACGTCATAAGGAAAGGCCAATCGCTAGAAAACTGCATCATGTTTGGTAAAGTAGAAGTTCATAAAAAAACAAAACAGGGAAGCCCTCAATGAGATGGATTAACACCATAGCCTCGATGGACTTGAGCGTATCAATGATCATGAAGACGGAACAGGGCTGGGCAACAATTCATTCTGTTGTACGCAAGGTTGCCGTGAGTCAAAGCTGGCTGAGTGGCAACTAACAACAGCAGCGAAGTGCATCTCACCCAGTGCCACCAGGAGACAGTAGCTGTCATAGTCCAGAGGCGAGCCGTGTGCAGAATCTGCAGAGGCCCTCTCGAAAACCAGGTGCATGACTCTTAGTCCTTCACCTGGAGGGAGGATAGGAATCGGCCAGGAGACTGTCTTGTGCTTCTTGCATTCCACTACCTGCCACTTCAGACAGCCGTCAAGACCCCAGGGGAAAGGGAAAGGGAAAGTGGCATGGCCTGCAGGAGATGGGGCGCCCCCCATGGGCCCCGAATCCAGGCAGCCAGCCCATGGCCATCAGGAGAGGAAGGGAAAATGACCATAGTGGCTCCAGGGGGGCAAGTTATGTAACTGCTCTGCACCTCGGTTTCTTCATCCATAGAATGAGAACAGGGAGCCCTGGTGGTGCGGTGGTTAAGCGCTGAGCTGCTAACCAAAAGGTTGACGGTTCACACCCACTCAGCGGCTATGTAAGAGAAAGACCTGGCGATATGCTCCCAGAAGGACTACAGCCTAGAAAACTCTAGGAGGCAGTTGGTCTCTGTGGCATGGGGTCGCTATGAGTCCAGTTCGACTGGACAGCCCCAACAACAACAGACTGAGAATAATAGGCCCCGCCTGGGGTGGTGGTTGAGGCAAGTCAATGGGTGTAGCGTGTTCAGAGCAGAACCCTCCTGCCTGCGGTGAGCACTCAGGAGTGCGGTTATTATTGTGCTTATTGTTGTCATTGTCACCATTCCCCAGCGGGGTCATCCTGGCCGACGGCAGCACACAGCAGAGAAACACAGGGTTAACACAAGGAAACGTGTCCTTGCCTTGCTGTAGGTACCCACTTTTCCTGGGATCTAGGGAGGATATATTTCCTATTTTATAAATCTGCATTTTTACAAGAACAGGTTCTTGGAGGGTTAGCTCTACCCTGTCACCCTGGCTCCCACCTGTGGTCCACATTCCTGGAACCTAAACTTGGCCATCACACATGCCACAGGTCATCCACGCAGGAAATTCATGTCCTCAAACACAGCTCTGCAGGGAGAACTGAGGTCTGCCCGGTGAGGCAGCTCAGCCGTCTGGGGCATCAGGACAGCCTGACTGAATTGTTCATGGGCTTGCTAAAGATGGCAAGGAGGTAGCAGAATGTGTTACAGGACATTTAGCCCTGAGAACAGGAACATGACACCAGTCTATCTTCTCCTCGATGCTATTGTGACCTTCAACTGGGTGGGTGCGGCCCTGGAGGAAGAAGAGTGCCTCAGAGAGACCCCACAGACCTTGGAACTGCAGTGCTGTTTAAATGGTTCACTCCTTGTTGAGGGATTCGTCTGGGTTCCCCAGGAGCAGAGCTCACTGCTGTCTTCTACCAGGCACACAGGAAGGGACAGAAGGCGGCCATCTTGCCTGACAGCACTCTCTTTGTATATCCTGCAGGGGGAGCATTTCCCAGGATGCACTGTGCCCAACATGGCACCTGGCCATTCTGCCTGTGCTGGCCCCTGATGGCCAATAAGCCAGGGGGAGGCCGACCCTCTGCACCCAGGAACTGGGATGACAACCCCCTCCCCATACCCACACAACAGCCCTTCCTCTCTGAGACCTTCACCAATTCAAAGGCTTCATTTTGTGTGGGTAACATTATGGGAATGCTTTGAAATTGTGTTTACAAGCCATTGCAATTTTACACATGTGTAAGGGGATTTGGTGGTGCAGTGGTTAAGTGCTCAGCTGCTAACTGAAAGATTGGAGGTTTGAATCCACCCAGGGGCTCCATGGGAGAAAGACCTGGCGGTTTGCTCCCGTAAAGATTACAGCCTAGAAAACCCTATAGGACAGTTCGACTTTGTCATATAGGGTCACTAGGGGTTGAAATGGACTTGACGGTAACTAAAAGCAACATGGATGAAAAGCTATTTCAAGGAGGGGACAGGAAAACTGGTAACGGGGAACCCAAGGTCGAGAAGCGGAGAGTGTCGACACGTGGGGCTGGCAACCAATGTCACAAAACAATATGGGTATTAATTGCTTAATGAGAAACTAGCTTGCTCTGTAAAAGTTCATCTAACGTACAATCAAAAAATGTTTAAAAAAAGAAAAACTATTTTAACCTGCAACTTAATAAACTTTTTCTTTAAAAACAAAAGGCCATTCAGAGTAAATATTGTTGATGTCTAATACAGTATAAGTAGCCAGAGGTGTTTTCTTGGCTGTTTCTGTTGTGAATAAAAGATTAACTTGCTGAGTTTCATCTGCCCCTTTCAGGAGGCACTAAAGAAGAAAATTCATAAAGACCTCAATCCAAAGAACTTAGCCAAAACAAAGTATTGCAGAAAGTATAGTAGTTTGGGAGATCATTTGATTTCTCTTCACTTGCTTAAAGCAAACTATTTTGCTAAGCCAGAAGTCTGGTTTCTTGTAAATATCTAAGGCAGAGATGGCAAAGGGCACCTCATATTAACTGTTATGGCACCTGGGAGCATGACGTTGAGAAGGATTCTGAGCCTGCATCAAGCTTATTAGAGATGGTCGATGGTGATCAGTTGCCAGTCCTCGGAATATACTTGGAGTCCCTGGGTGGTGCAAACAGTTAAACACTTGGCTGCTTACTGAAAGATTGGAGGTTCAAGTCCACTCAGAGGTACCTCAGAAGAAGACCTGGCAGTCTACTTCAGAAAAATCAACCATTGAAACTTCCATGGAGCACAGTTGTACTCTGACCCACATGGGTTGCTATGAGTCAGAATTGACTCAGCGGGAACTGGTTGCTTGGTTGGTTGATTGGTTGGCTGGTTGATTGGTTGGCTGGTTGATTGGTTGGCTGGTTGGTTGGTTGACTGGTTGGTTGGTGATTGGTTGGTTGGTTGGTTGGTTGGCTGGCTGGCTGGCTGGTTGGTTGGTTGGTTGGTTGGTTGGCTGGCTGGCTGGTTGGCTGGTTGGTTAGTTGGTTGGTTGGCTGGCTGGTTGGCTGGTTGGTTGGTTGGCTGGTTGGTTCGTGGGAGTGGGCCTGGATTGGGGTGGGGTAGGTGGAATGCGGCACTCAGGTGATTTCTTTGCAGATCCCGGTATGAAGGAACATTTTGTTTCAGAGGTTGGTTAACACTCAGCCTCCCTTTTCTCCTGGCAGGAGCTGTACCACCAGTCCTATGATTGTGTCTGCGTCATGTTTGCCTCCATCCCGGATTTCAAAGAATTTTACACCGAATCAGATGTGAACAAGGAGGGCTTGGAGTGCCTTCGGCTCCTGAACGAGATCATTGCCGACTTTGATGATGTAAGTACCAAGGGTTACCTGTGACGGGCAGGGGCTCTCGGCCCCACACTTGGAGATTTCTGTGGCCAGTACATTTGAAGTTAGTTCAGTGTTGCGTATCTCAACATTGTTTTTTGGCGTGATTTTTGGTGGCTGCCATTGAAGCCTTTTGCTCTGTTTAGGTCCCTGACTAATTTTAAAGGCAAAAATATGTTTTATTTTTGAAGCTGATATGAACAGCTACCAAAATCTACTAAATGAATAAAATATCTACCCAGTGTGCTAGTGAATTTTCTAGAAAGATTTGAGCTCCAGAGAAAAGGCTTGCTTCCACCCCTTTATATATAAAAAGATAATGAATATATTTATCATAGTAGATTATTAGCATATCTGTACACACATCAAGTTCTTTGTAATTTCAAGTTCTTGAACTATTTATAAGTGACATAGTTTATTATTGAAAAAATAATGTGTACATAGGGTAATACCTCATATTTTAGAAGAGACAGAGTATATGTTTTAGAATTTGAATTAAGTGTTGTATTTCAACTTTCAATGTTCTGTCCATGTGGAGAATATTATGTTTTCTGCTAAGAACAAACGCAGCTCTAGTTTTGAGGCTATTGCTGCTACTCCATTCTTGTCATTATTGTGCAAAATATCGGGACATCAGCATCCATGAGCATGTGTTCATGGTGGTTCACAGAATTCTGGAATACAGGGATGAGACTGTGTAACATGGTTGTTCTGGGGCGACCTTCTAAACATCCAGCAGGGTCCTTGCTTTTCTCTACCACCACGCTCACCGAGAGGCTGGCTCCAGAAGACCATGGGGAAGTAGTGCCAACCAGTGGTTCCCACCTAACACCAGGCACATAGTGAGAACTGGTGGCATGCTTGCTCTAGTCACCCCCCCAATAAAATACATGTTCCCAGTCCCAGTGGGTGGGAAACACAGTCTTTCAGGTTAGACTGGCTCATGGGTATGTGATACTTGGATTTGTTCCCAAATATTAGCTTCACTGACACATAACCCTGAAAAATCCCCTCTGGAAGCAGGAGTAGCAAGGAAGGAGCCAGAAGATGCCCACGTCTTCAGTTAGAGACGTTAACTTGAGCCCTGCCCTTCTGAGCAGATGCAGAACCTTCCAGCCTCTTCTTCCCTCTTCCCTACAGCAGCTGCTCGTATTTTTACCTTGGCTCCATCCTACCCCCAGTACCCTAGAGCACCATGTAGGGGAGGAGTCCAGTGGGAAGCAGGTGACTGGCTGGTGTGTGGAGAAGGGATGACTGGTCAGGGCTGGTGGGAGGAGCCATCCTAGATCTTTATCCTCACCTCAAGCAAGTAGAGGGCAAAGCCAACCCTCAGCAGTAATACCTGGTCGGAAACCAGCCTGCCCATGCCAAGAAGGCCTCACTCACTGAATCATGGTCTGTACATAGGCCTGTCAAGCCCAGCATAGGGAGATTTATTCAAGGCCATAATTACTCACATCGTAATGTATCCCATTCCTTTACTACCAGACTTTGAAAGTGGTGCATGGTCATTGGAAGTAAATCAGGGTGGCTGTATTTCCTTCCAAGGGCACACTCTGGAATGCATAAAGTGTTCTCTCTAACAAAGCCCCTGTGAGCATGAACTGGAGGATGTCTCTAGACGCCCAGCGTTGAGTCCGCATCTGTCTGAGTAACTGAGTAATTGTTGTTGCTTCCCAGCTATTGTCCAAGCCGAAATTCAGTGGAGTTGAAAAGATCAAGACCATCGGCAGCACGTACATGGCAGCAACGGGTCTGAGCGCAGTGCCCAGCCAGGAGCTCGCCCAGGTACGGAGGAGACAGCCGTGCAACGGCACGCATGAGCCTCAGCCCCACCCGCAGGTCGTCCTGGGCCAACACAGCCACCCAGCAACCCACACGCTGGGCCGTGTGAGCAAGTAGTGCTCGCTGATGAGGGTCCTTTGAGGAAAGGCGAGAGTTCCAGAAACTTCCGAGGGTCTGCGAGTGTTCACAGACCTCCTTCCTCTGGTGGACGTAGGGAAGGAAAACCAACTGGCAGTGTCTTTGGGCTATGCTTTAGCCGCACTAAACAAGGGGCCAGGCGGGCTAATCCCACCTTCCTTGCTAAATTTCTGGTAAGGATCAGCACGAATCCAATTCCCATCTGGGGGTGGATCCAGGCCTCACCTTCCCACATCTCTTTCCTCCCTGCAGCCCCCAGAGCCACCCAGAGCTGGATTAGAGCTCACACGTTAGAAGGACTTTGTCCTCAGACCGGCTGCCCGTGCAGCCCTTCTCTGACTTAGCCATCCCGCTAAATCAGAGCTCACATGGATTAGAAGGTAAATGCCAACCTCTGCCGGTTCTCCCTGCACCCTGTGGGCTTGTTAATTCCTTGCAATGGCTCACAGAATTCATGGAAAGTCATCTCTACTTACAGTTACCCTTTTCTTATAACCAGAAGGAGGTAAACGAAGGGATGCACAGGTGTCTGGGAGGGGTCCAGGCACAAGATTTCCATTGTCCCCAGGGACATGCCACCCTCCGCCCGCAAGCACATGCTCTCACCAACCTGCGAAGCCCAAGTGGTTCCCTGTCCAGGGCCTTGTGACATTGCAGTCGTGACGGGGCCTCATTGCATAGTCGTGATCGGTGGAAGCCGTGAATGTTCCCGAGTGATTGCGTCATGCCTCCCTCCCTCCCTGAGGTTTGCTGTTGGGCTGGGGTCCGTGTAGCCCCCACTCTGTCGTACACGTTTTTAGGTGCAGCTCCATGGCTGGGGAATGCCAAGGGCTGTCTTTCAGGAACCAGAGACAAAAGTCGAATCGAGTTCCTTGTCCCACAGGATACGAGATGAATATACAGCAAAGTAGATGAGACCATTTATTGAAAGGAGGTTCAGTAACGGATGGCTCCTGGGCTTGTTTTTTGATTTGTTTTTAATTAAAAAGAGTGTGGTACAAAAACAAGCGGGCCACAGAGACATTTGGTTGAAGTGGTAGTTTGGGAAAAATTGACTGTCTTCAGCCACGACGGTTTTGGTGGGGGTTTTCAATTGCGTTTTGTTCTGTGTGTGTGTGTGTGTGTGTAAATGTACCTGTGTAACTTGTTGGCGTTTTTGAGAGGGTCAATCAACAACACTCCTCCGGGTTCAGAGGACAGCCTGGCTGGCGTCCAGCCCAGGATCGCTGCAGGCTTAGAACCTCCCAGAAGCCAGCCTCCTGTAGGCAGTGGCCAGTTATCATTGCTGTGGAGTCAACTCCAGTTCACGTCTCAGCCCCTCATAGGGGCCCTTCCTGCACAAGGGAGTGAATTACCCAGTAAGCAAGGTAAGCATGGGCTTACTTGTGCTTACCTACTAATCTGTAGTGACCAATTTCACATGGGTTTCACCACATCGCTTATGAATCTGTAGTGAGCAATTTTACATGGTTTGAAAAAAACCCATGTGACATTGTCAACTACAGATTAGTAAGTAAGCACAAGTAAGCCCGTGCTTACCTGTGCTTACTGGGTCATCCTCCCCTCTCAGGGACTGTACATTGGAAAGGAGACTTTGATTCTGTAGGAAGGTGCTGTGGGGTTGGGAGAGAGACAGACGCCAGTCATTCCTAGAAGCAGAATCTTTGATGTGGTGAAAAAATGTGAAATTGTTCGCTAAAGACGGTATGGTAAGCAAGGTAAGCACCGTGCTTACCTTGCCTGTTGGATAATCTGCCCCTGTGCTGCACCCCAAGCTCCAGAGAGTTCTGCCTCACCTGGCCTGTGTCCAGATCTGATTTCTTTCCGTGCGCACTGCAGCCATTTTCAGCTTTCCTGTAAATGTGCGTGTCTCTTGTTCCCCATCCACCACCCACGTTACAGCGGATGCCGGGTCCCAGGTGGTGTCTCCAGAGCCGCCAGCAAGGGGTCGTGTGCAGAGACGTTGCACACGTTTATTGAATGAATGATGGATCCTGCAGCCACTCTGCCTCGAGGGCAGGGCCTTTCTTCCTTCACTCTGTTTCTCAAACCTGCTGCTCCTGATGCAGGCCCTCTGCTTTTCTCCCTAACATTTTACAACAATAACTGAACACTTACTGAAGCCTTGGAGGTAGGTGGTAGTGCCATCCTCCCATCTTACAGATCGAGAGACTGAGGCACACAACAGAGAAGTCACTTGCCGAGGGATGTAGGAATAATAAGCAATAGAGCTGAGAAGGGGCATTGGTGGTTCGGTGGTAGAATTCTCACCTTCCACGCAGGAGACCCGAATTTAATTCCAAACCAGTGTGCCTCATACATAGTCACTACCCATCTGTCAGTGGAGGCTTGTGTGTTGCTACGGCAGTCAACAGGCTTCAGGGGAGCTTCTAGTCTAAGATAGACTAGGAAAAAAAGACCTGGAGATCTATTTTTGAAAATGAGCCAATGAAAGCCCTATAGACCACGTCGATCCAGTCTGAAACCAATCATGGGCATAGCACAGGACTGGGCAGCATTTTGTTCTGCTGTGTGTGGGGTCACAGACCTGGGCTCATCTCTGTCTGGCTGAGCTCTACAGGGCCACCTCTGGTGCTGCTTCCCCTCCTCCTCTTCTCACCTTGCTCCCTCACCAGTCCCGCCCCACTTGCCATGTTCATACCTGTGCCCAGGTGTGTATGTATCTGTGCCATTCACTCATCATTGCTTCCAGCCTGCCTGAGCAAACCAACTTTTTCTCAGGTGCCCACCCCTTCTAGGTGCCCCTGTGTGGTGCACAGGGTTAACATACTCAGCTGCTAATTCAAAGGTTGGGGGTTCAAGTCCACCCAGAGGCACCTTGGAAGGAAGACCTGGTGGTCTACTTCCAACAAAGTAGCCATTGAAAACCCTCAGGAGCACAGTTGTACTCTGACACACGTGGGGGAGCCATGAGTCAGAGTCAACTCCAGAGCAGCTGGTTGCCCATCCCTTCTGCCCTCATCAAACACCGCAGCAAAACTTGCCTTCTTAATTATCCCTGAAGTGTGTGCTTACTTAGTACTCAGCCATTTTCGTTAGTAAATGACTGTTTCCATGGTGGAGTTGAAAGAGCGTGGCTTTCCAATGAGAGGACTCATGACTTATAAAAACCGCTAATCTTTCTGCACTTCAGTTTCCTTACATATAAGGCTGTTGTGAAGATCTCATTTAATGTATAAAATATTTAATAGTCCCTGGGCATGGTAGATCATGAAAATGTTATTTATTAATAAGGTAATCATCTAGTTTGTAGTTTGTAAACCATTTTGCATACTGGTGCCATTTCCCCCTTCAACAGAACAGATATAAGGGTTTAGAGACATAAATGAAATATGATATGTCATCACATCCATGCAGGGAATTTTTTCTCAGTAGGAGCTATTTTTAAGTAGAGCATTTAATTTGAATCTTGTTAAGGTCATCCTAGAAATACTCTGAAGTGCAGTGAAGGTCTTCTGAGTGGAAGGTTCATTACATTTGATTGGGGCAAATACCATGCCTGATAAATATTAATGCATGTCACAGTTGATTTTATAAGAAGTTAATGTCACTTTTGCCTTTTGCAACCTATTTGAAATGAGCTTTAAGACTTTGTTTCTCTAGTTATAAACAAAACGCATTCTACTTATTGTTTATCCAAATCTTTAGATTGGCAACAACAAAAAATTCAACTTGAAAAATATATTTCCCATTGATTAATTCTTCCCTTTTGGTTTTCTATCTCCAGGTCTTTGCACATGTCATTATAATACTTTACTTTGTCTTCTCGAGCCTCCCTTTAAAATCTTCTGTTCAGCTCTTTTACTTCATCATTTCTTCCACTCACTTTAGCTACTCTACATTCAATAGCAAGTTTCAGAGTCTCTTCTGACATCCATTTTGGTCTTTTCTTTCTTTCCTGTGTTTTTAATGACCTCCTGCTTTCTTCATTTATAATGTCCTTGATGTCTTTCCACAACTCATCAGGTCTTCGGTCATTAGTGTTCAACACGTCAAATCTAATCTTGAGATGGGTCTCTAAATTCAGGTGGGATATACACAAGGTTGTACTTTGGCTCTCATGGACTTGCTCTAATTTTCTTCTGCTTCAACTATATACAAGTAATGTGGAATGGTTGTGAAAGGCCATTGACTGAGGATTCTGAGGCCAGCATGCAGTGTGGACTCCCTGGGCACCGTGTCCATTTGGCAGAATTGTGAGAATGATCCCAGGGCGGCAGATGTGCAGAGCCCTGAGCACCTCACTAAGGAGTTTACGCTCACGTGGAACATGTCTAAGCAGATGAGCAACAAGGAGGATTTATTAGGCACTACCATGTGTTGGACATTGGCTGAATGCCTTGATGGTACCAATTTATTTAATCTTAATAGCAACTCTATGATGAAGTACAGCCAGAAAGCTCCTTAGAAGTGAGGGTGGTGAGACTTCATCTCATGTACCTTAGACATGTTGTCAGGAGGGACCAGTCCCTGGAGAAGAACATCATGCTTGGTAAAGTAGAGGGTCATCAAAAAAGAGGAAGACCCTCAGTGGGATGGACTGACACAGTGGCTGCAACAGTGGGCTCCAACATAACAACAATCATGAGGATGGCGCAGGACTGGGCAGTGTTTTGTTCTTTCGTACATAGGGTCACTATGAGTCAGAACTGACTCAGCGGCACCAGATAGCAACAGCAACTATGTGTTGGACATTGGATAAATGTGTTGTTGGTATCAATTTATTTAATCTTAACAGCAACTTTCTGAGGTAGGTAGTTGCTATCCCATTTTACGGATGAGGAAATTGAGTCACGGAACAGTTAAGTGGCTTGGCCGAGGCCACACAGCTAGTGATTGTAGAA